GAGACAATTGCCCCCAGGCCTCTGCCTCCTTCCCCTCTCAGGGGGTAACTGTCCTGAAGCTTTACCCATTCCTGCCCCCTCCCAGCTAGGCTAGCAAAGCCCAGGACCGGGCTTGGGACTATCAGAAGCCCTTGTTCCTGGCTGGCAGCACCTGGAGGGGAATGAGGGGCAGATGGCTTCAGTCCCTGCTGCTCCCTACCACAACTCCTGCATAAATACAGACCTGCAGCAAAAATTCCTTCCTAACCCCAGCCAGTCCGCTTGCCAGCAGGAGCCTCCCTGGGTTACCCCACGTGCTCTAGACCTGCCTCACCTGGGTGTGGACCTGCAGGGACAGTCCTTGGCCATTCATTCACCCTACGTTTTAAGCCCGGTTGTGAGCACGTCCCGAAGGGCCGTCTGCCAGTTCTGCCCAGGGAGATGACGTGACTGTTCTGTAGGCTCAGGTCTGACCTACGGAGGGGAGGGGGATGAGGGCTGCTGGTCTCCTGTAGCAACATGATCAGCATTCACGGGGACACAGGAGCCTGCGACTCCTCGTGGTGTGGCTCTGTGAGAGTTTTTCCTGTCTGTGTAATTCCCAGCTTTGTGCAACTGTGAAATCCTCTCCAAATTCCACCTGGCGATGAGCGGCGGCACAGGCTTGATGTTACGTTACCACGGAGGTCGCCCCCTGAACACGAACGTTCTGTCTTGGCATGGGGCACGTGTGCCTTGAGTTTTGTCAAGGTGGCCCAGTTGGGGCTGTTTGGATAGAAGAGAATCCTAATTTTCAGCAGTGTTTCTGGCTGGGCTTGGAAAAGCAGGTCTTGCTGAGGATAGGAGATGCTGCAGAAAACGCGAGAAGGAATGTGAGTCTCTACCGCAGTTTACAGCCGAGTGATCCGGCCAGTGACCACAGGGGCCACTCTGTCTGTCCTGGGCGTGCTCTTGCACTGGTCTCCCACTGGAGGTTTTGTAGCTCATGCGGGGTTTTCCCAGTGTGGGTGCGCCAGTGGCCATACACTGATAGCCCTGAAGGTGCCTTTGGTTATGAAACCAACCTCAGGCACATCCCCGGGGTTTGCCAACGCAACGCGGGTCATCCTGTGCAGGCCGGCCCAGCACTGGGTGATAGAAAGCACCCGCTGGTGGAAGGCTTGTTCAGGTGGCAACGGGCATCAGAAGGGAGGAGAGGCAGCGTCGCCTTCCTGGCAGCGACCCCCTGGTGCCACCACAGCACTCGTGGGTGCCGCGCTGCTGGGGTGCAGCGAGCTGGGGGTGCAGCGAGCTGGTGTGTCCTGCCCCGAGGCTCCCACACGTCCCCCGGCCCTGGGCACATGCTCACCCAGCACAGGTTACTAACTGAGCGGAGTGGGGGGGTTTTAGCTGCATCCCGTGCAGCTTTGCTGACTGTTCCTCTTGGCAGGAGCCACAGCGACACTTCGGTACAGCCAAGGTGCAGGGTTTGCCTGGGCAGGGTGATTTTTTCCATAATAAGGTCTTTGGGCGCCCTCCCACCTCTCATTTCTCGTGCGTGGTCCGAGCGCGTCTCCCGGTGCTGGGGAGCCCTTGGGAGCCCGACTGGCTCTTTGCTCGGGGCTGCGGTGGGACTGTGTCTCCGGCGTGTCTGGGCTCACCGCCGCTCGCAGGATCCTGCCTCAGAGAACTGCTGCTGCTCCCTGTCCAGACACAGGCCAGCAGCTTGTTTGTTTAAACTTGTTTCCATAGGAATTTTTAAGGACCATGGGAACATATTTTATTTGACCTAAACAATAAAGAATGAGGCTGAGGAGGGGGGAATGAGTCCCGTCACGCCTGATTTGTGGGTCTGATTTTTCTCTTAGGCTGGGTAACCTCTTCAGCACTGAATGGACCATCTTGGCAAGTCAACTTGCTTTTTTCTTCTCGTTTTTTCAAATGCCTGCAACGTATTCCAATCAGCTGACAAATGCATAGAAATAGGTCAGAAATCGCCTCTTTTTAAGCACACAGGCCAGCTCTTGGGTCAGGCTTGCAGTCGTTCCGAAACTTGTGTCTGAGCTGGCGCTGAAGGAGCCAGATTGTCCAAGTTCAAGTGCAGGCTGTGCCCCGGATGGCAGGGAGGGACCTTGGCGTCTCTGCACTCCCTCCCTCTGCCTTTGTGCCCCTAAAGCAGGACCTCAGGATTCGCCTAGTCACTGCTTGGGAAAGGACAGTGACAGTCTCCTGTCTGATAACTGTAAGGTGTAAGGCAGCACAGAGCGACCTGGGGTGCTGCTAGTCCTCCGACAGGAAGGTTGGGGTGGCCTCGGGCAGCGTGGGCAGAGATTGCACATGGACTCGTAGCAGAGATGGGCGACGAAGCCGCGCTGCGGCAGCGTGTTGCTTGTTGGACCTTCCGAGCTGTAGGAGCTGAAATGTGGTGACCCCAGAGATGTAATAGCAGCAAAGAGCTGCTGGAAGAACAGCCCCGCAAAGAGGGTGTGTGGGCAATGGGGAAGGCCACTACTCATCAGTGGAACTGGCCACCGAGATGAACGTCCATCCCCGTACAGTGATTTTTACTGTCTCCCAAGAAATCCTGGCAGCTGTCACTAAGCAAAGGCCCGTAAATCCTCCTCACCAGTGCTCTGAAGGCGCGGGGGTGCTGCTCTGGCACCGGGAGCCACAAGCTCAACGGGGCAGGCTGTCCTCTCGGTAACGCTGTGCTGCCCTGCAGGCTTTGTGTGTGCAGAGGAGTTCAGTCACTTCGTGTCTCTTCACACCTCCACCATGAGTGTGGCTGGCTGCTTTCTTAGGGGGGGAAAAAAACCAGGAAATTGCTGTTACCACTTTCTGAGGGGGTAAGGAACAGTCGCTCTTCTCAAATCGAGAAGCACAGCCTGTGAACGCCAGCCAGCCCTGGGCAGCAGATTGAGCCAGCGTGCAAGAACGGCTCCACCACTACTCAGTGTCGTCAAACAGCGCCCTGGGAACAGGAGCCAATTTTCCAGGTTAAAAAAATCCCCTCCTGGTTCTGCCTGTGTCCAGCTGCCTACTGCTTTCTTTCCAAACTTGTTCATGTCCAAAAGGGGTCTGGGGTAAGAATCCCCCACAGCACAGCCTGTGGACTGCTGCTTCCTCACCGAGCATCTCAGCAACCTGAGAACTGGCTTTTGTTGCAGGGGCAGGTGGCACTTCCCTGATCCCGGGCGTTCCACGGGTGTTTTCTGCGCAAGCGGGTAAGTGTGCAGGGCGAGGGGTGAGCTCCGCAGCGGAGAAAAGCGGTTTGCCAGGGAGCACGAGGAGAATAAGGTGTTGAATGAACACCGTTCCCAGGCTCTTGGCTACGCACAGTACTCCGGCAGGGAAGGGTGAGCGCTGCTGTGCAGCAGAAAAGGTAAATTAGGTAAAAAGGAACTCGCAGGAGTGCGAACAGTCAGCAGCTCGCGGCTCAGCGCTGAAGGCCCAGGCCCTGTGGAAGCCTGCGCAGGGTAAACGGCGGGAAGCAGGTTGCTCTAGCGGGGCCAAGGAGCAGTTTGGAGCAGGCAATCTGTGCTAATTTATTCAGACCAAATGCTTGCCCCCTTCTGGAAATCTCACTTAGCTTCTGGGAGCTTATTTACCTTCCAGTGCCGTATCGTGGGAGATGAACTCTGTGCGGGATGGAGTTCTGTACAAAGGGCTGCAGGTCTTTTGCCCCTTGTCCTGCTGCTTTTAGCCCCACCAGGAGTTAAGGAAAGGGCTTTCTCGCAGCCAGAGCTCAGCACCGACTTGCTCAGGACCCTGGATGTGTCTCTTTATTTGTCTTCTCGATGCCATTTTTATTAGATTAATTTATATGTGCTGTATATGTGTGTGCTCGGATGGCCCAGATGGAGAAGTGAGGAGTTTCTCCTGGCAGTGAGTTACCCATCACACTACAACTCCCTTGCTCTTTGGAGCACAGGATGTGGAATGTATTAGAAGAGGGGGTGCCCTGTCCCCTGCGCAGTGACTGGAAGCGCAGGAGCCCCACGACAGCAGCTCGAGAAATGAGGCTGAGGGGGCTGCAGCCCTGGGGTCACCTTGGGAAGATCCTCCCGGCGCCTTTCGTGTCCTGAGCAGGTGTGACCTACTGCTACGACAATGAAAGCCTCAAGCTCGGAGCGGCCGGACCCGGATTTGCGTACGACTGTCGTACACGCTGGACCTGCTGCTGATTTTTGCAGCTCAGAGCAAGCCGAAGTGGACAGTCTCGCTCCCAGCATCTGCGTAAGCACCGACTTTTATTGTGGTACTAAGGATGTGCGTGCGCTGTTTCAAGGCAATAAGCCCCGAAAAGCAGCTTCGTGACCTTTTATACTGGTACTTGTATAAGGAAGGTATTTGTGAGATGAGCAAGTCCGAGCTGCTCATGTTATCCAGGAAATTAAATGATCGCATTTGATGTTCTTGCCCGGGAGAGGTGAAGGTCCCTGAGGAAATTAATCCATGGATGGCTCCGACTGGAGGAGCGGTGGAATTTCAGACAGTTTTTTTGTCATCGTGGGCTTCGCCTACAAAGGCATTTTTTAGGTATGAACAATCTCTAAGCCCCCAGCTGTTGTCTTACAAGAAGGTGCACACTTAATTGTACTCTCTCAGCATCTGTGTGGCAGTCCTCCACTGCTGGGTTTGCCAAGAGCCTGTCTGCACGTTACCCAAATGTTTCTTTTTTGAAAACGAAACCCCAAGTAATATTTGCTAAGCTTGGGTCACGTATGGGCTGTGCTGGCTGCAGTTTGTCTCACCTGGTGCTAGAAAAGTGGTATTATACGAGAATTAAGGTATGGAAGGTGACAGCGACTGTCCTGCCTTAAGGAGATTTTTTATGGGCTTTCCTCTTGGTTAGTGGCAAAATCATGGTTAGGAAGGGGCAGGTGAAATACATTCTGTGGTCGGACATGAAAAAAAAGCCTGGCTGGTTAGGAGAGGGGAGTTGAACCCTGTGGTTTTCTGCTGTGTACATACTGCCCTTAACTTTCACAGGGGTTACCTGTTCTTCAAGGGATTTAACTAAAGACCAGTAATTCCGTTTGTTTAACGTAGGGCACTTGATTTTATTCAAAGGGTGAGATACAAAAAAGTAAGCAAAAAGACAAAACCCAAATTGTAAAACACTACAGACAAAAGAAAGACATCTTCTGCGTACAGCACACAACAGGAAACAAGATACAGACTGGTCCCCACAAACCAAGCCAGCTGGGTATGTACAGGCAGAGGCAAACTGATCTAGAAGGGAAGCCGTGGTGGTGTTTGCCACTTCCAGTGTCTATTTACATAAACTGAACTGAAGGCAAATAGTTTTCTTTCCTTTTATTCAAACCAAATACTTCTTTGTTTCTTCTTCTTCCTGTTTCTGATGCAGAGGAGGGTCTCCACGCTTTGAGACAAGTTTGGTACATTCAGGTAGGATCTAAAATCAGCCACAGCTAAACACTGACGTGCTACTTCAAGCGATGAATTTCAATCCCTCCCTCCACCCGTCGCGCTGCTGCCAGGCACCTACTTGTGGTGCCAAGGACCGCTAGCGAGGGCTGGAGAGGAGAAATGCCTCATTCTGCACTGAAGTGTTGGTCTTCCTTATGCCTTTAGATATTTCAACCTGCAGCTTAACCAACCCTGGTGTGTCTAGGCTAGACTTAAGGCTCCTGAGCACGACGATGCGTTGTGTCACGTCCACGAGCTCCCTCCCCCTTGACTGGCTGCGTGAAGCTGTCAGCTCTTCCAGGACGGAGGGGTTGAGCCCTCACAAACAGGGGGGTGGGACACCGTCACCCTCAGCTCAGTGCGACCACGCCGAAGAGGAGACAGCGTTGTCCATGCCATGGGGGCACCCTACGGGGCCAAGGCCACCCCAAGACGGCCTTGGGCTCTTTATAAGAACATGCACGCAGCCAGTACTTACTCCTCTGACAACTTCGGGAAAGAACTGGCTGTAGCCTTTCCTCAGTAGAGCTAGGAGGGGGGGGAAACCTTTCTGACAGCAGCGTATTCCACGTACAACTTCATTTGCTATTGTGTGTGGAGCGGTGTGGAATTTGTCTGAGATCTGTTGGGCAGAAACAACACGTGCTGAGCCAGAAGTTCTCTGGCAGTTAAAAAAATCCTAAAACCTATGGGCATGTGCTTCCCTTTAAGCCTCTTCAAACAGTTAAATCAAAATTAATTCTGACGAAACCACCCAGTAATAGGCAGCTGCTATTCCAAATGGCAAAGGCCTTTATCTGTATTTACCTGTGGCTCAATTTTAGTGACAGGGCTACCGAATTTTTAAACACCTCAATTAGGAAGGAGGGAATTTTACTGGCTCAGTAAGCAAAACATTCATTCTGGAGAGCAGAAGACTGACTGGCTGTTAATAAATATCACAAGACATTCTAAGAGTTTTCTAAGGAAAAGAGAAAACGTCATCTGTTCATCAAAATGCAACACATCTAGACAAAATGAGGTAAGGAAAGCTAAGGAGAGTCCTTTATACATTCTCACTTCACACAGGCATGGCAATTAACAACAACGAGATGCTTAACAGATTCCCTACCATGCTCATCAGAGAAATTCTTCATAGCAAGAGTGCTCCACAGCATTCTTTGATATCGAGCATTACAACATCCGACAGCCTAAGCTGCAAGCAGCGACTACACCTCCGTTGTGGCAGGCAGAGTTTTACACACTTCAGGCAGTTTGCTGGCAACTGGCAGAATGCAGGGGGTGAAAACTACCTTTGCCTCTGACAAGGAAGAATCTGTCGTGAGTTTTAATGCCTTAAATTACACATAAGGATTTGTCTATCACAGCAGAAAACCAAACAGCTCAGCGATATCTGTACAGTTACACCCGACATCGGAGTGTCAGACTTAACATTTCTCACTTAGACTCCTGTTCTTTGGTCCTCTTTGTATACAACTTACTTCATAAATATTTAACAGCCTGCGTTATCGGACTTTTACTGAAGAGCAACTTGTACTTTAACGGGGATGTCTACATCCCGTTTGCTAGGAGACTCGGTAAGCTAGCGGACAATCACCTGTGGGAGGGGAGACAAAAGCAATGCTTGCTGCTTTTCTTCTGGGCAGACTAGGAGGAAAAGATCTCGGAATAAATTCTCTTGCAGGGTTCTTTCCTGTGAGATCCCACACTAACGAGAACCCGGGATGTGATACTGCAAGTCCCTGGGTCATTGTGCTGGGAGGGATCCGGGGGGGAACCCTGCCCTGGTTCCAGCCCTCCGCGGGAGAGGTTTGCACAGCTTCGCTTCTCTAGGGAAGCTGAGCGGGAGGAGGAGGAGGAGGAGGAGGAGGAAGAACTACCCTCAAGCTGCCAGCACTGAACACATGTTGTTTTTCCTTAAGGATGAGTATCGGCGGCAGATGAAGCAGGGAAGCCTACTGGTCATGTTTAGGCAGAGGCACAGAACTGGAGGCGTCAGTGCCTCCTAAGAAGTGCCGTCTAAATAAGATGCAGTATTTACTACTTTGTTCTTAAACAGACACTGGCAGCACAATGCATTCATCAATTAACGGAACGAAACCCACGTGTTAATAACCATACATACATTGGGTTTGAGAAGCTGCTTCCAGGCACGCAGCATTTCATTCCCGTAACAAAACTAAGCCTCGAGCTGATACTGAACTGAAGTTAAATTCTTGCTGGGGTTTATCTAAAGGGGAATTGCTACACACGGGGTCTCTGGAAACGCCTCGGCCTGAGCACTCAGCTGCCCTGGTGCGAGCGCCTGGATCCCTGCTCCTTAGCAACGGCATCCCGTGCGAGGAGAACTCACTGTTGGAGGGTGGTGGCCAGTCCCCAAGTGTTGCACTTGTGAGAGCAGCGCCCGGGGGGCAGCGAGGGTGGGGTAGCCCCTGCCTTGCTTTGCGCCTTGCAGAGCGCGTGTAAAGCTACTTCAAAACCCACCAAGCTGGCAGGAAACCGACCTTCTTGCATTAGGAACCAAGTGGCTTAACTGCCCTCGAATGACTGAAAAAGTCAGTGTTAGGTCTTGAAGGCGTGTTTCTCCGAGTCATTTCTGATTCTCTGCATGCTTGTTATAAAGCTATTTACCAAGGGATATATTTCTGTCTTGTCTGTCGAGCCTCTTTTATCCCCTCCAATTTTAAACCAGCTGAATTTGATACAAGTCACATGCAAACTGCTCCTAAACAAACCAGAACCCGTGCTTTCGTTACGGGACTTTGGCCAACGTTGTAAGCCTCCGACAGGGACCTTTTGTGCCATCTCTGTGCCAGGGAGATACAAGGTAGAAACTCCTACGCAGACTCGTGACTGCGGCAGCACAAAGCTGGTTCCTCGGGATGTGTTTGTCGTGCCAGTGCTCAGTTCCAAGGGGAAAAACCCTCAACACAGGAAGACTTCTCCTTGTGTAAAGAACCAAAGCGCAGCAGTAACAAAGGCCCAGCGGGACCCGAGCGCTGCTCCTACCCCTCTCCTGCCCCACCTTCGGTGAGGGCCCGTCCCACGCCCGCCAGGCACGAGTTCCCCACCTCGGTGGGCACAGCACAGGCCTGTGCTGGTGCGACAGCACGCTGGGGCCCACCGAGGCTAACAGATCGTCACTTGCTAGGTATCTGGCATAGAGAAAACCCTTCTGAAGCAACTATATTTTCTTAGCACGTTTACCACGTGCCTAAAATTTAGGAGGTTGTGACAGGCCAGTTTAACTCTTTTGTACACGAGGCAGAAAGTTACCCCAAACGCTTGTTTTCAGTTTCATTCACTGCTAAAATATCTGCACAAGCATGACCAGAAACAGCTCCTGTTCCAGTTGTATATCCTGGTATCCTGCTTCACTGCCTGAGAGCACGCCAGATAATTCATTCAATGGTTTCTCATCAGCAGTTGGAATGAGCCGCACTGGGTAAGAAACAATAACATTATCTGGAAGTAAAGTGGAGGGCCCCTTACCTAGAAGACTCAGTAATCTTTAAAGAAAACCATTTAACATCTTTCATGGAAGGCTACTGTCCAAAAAACCCCAAAGCTATCGACATAGCATGTGGAATCAGTTTGACAATCACTAATGTAATGGAATTACGGTGATCTTATACACAAACAATGATTTACCAAAATAAGATTTACCTAGGGGACTTTAAAATCAAGTTATTTTGGTACCAAAAAAAGTCTTTCATTTAATTCCCCTTTGCCCCTATGATTCAGATGATCTTTCACTCTACAGTTACGGACTTGGCCAGATTTCTTGGAAAATCAACCTGCAGAGAGGGAGGAGAAAGAACACGCTTGTGAGTATTTACACGCTTCGTTTGTGTATAACTTTGTAACGTGCGGAACGTTTGTGCTGTGTTTAAACTGAAAACGACTGAACACATTCCTGTGTTAATCGGCGCAGAAAACGTCCATAAACCTCAACAGTTACGACTCCTCTGTCAAGAACTAAGGAGTCAGACCCTTCAGTGTGTTGTTACGGTGCTCAAACGGCAAAAGGTCGAGGCCAGTGTCTGTATTAAGACCAAACATCTCACACAAAGAGACTCTGTCAGACATCCTTCTGTGGGTTGTTCCTCCCTGTAGCTTCCTACCAGCCCTCCAGAAACTGCACGCTCGTCCCCGAAAACAGACACGTGTCCAAACTCAAACTGCACGAGAGCGGGCGGCTGTGCTCGCCTGCCTCCCAGTTTTGTTCACAAGGTTCTGTAATTGCCAGGTCTACCATTTAACGGGGTCGTTCAGTAGCTCAAGCACTTAGACAGACAAACCCCACCGACTTCCACCATCACCCCACGCATCTGTTCCAGGTCCGCAGACAGCAAAGGCGAGCGCGAAGGGAAGGAATGTTCTACTTACATCGTATCCTCGGAGAACTGCAAGGTGGAAAGCCAGAAGCTGGAGGGGAATAACGCTCAGGATCCCCTGCAGACAGTCCACGGAATGGGGAACTTTGATTGTTCTTTTATTGTTCTTAATTGTCTCGATGTCTTCCTTATCACAAATCACAACAGGTCGCCCCTGCAAAAAAGAGAAACGTTGAAGAAAAAACAGGTCTGGAAGGTTCTTCTCTCACTTCTGTTCGGAGCACCAGCAGCAAGACCTTTTCACTTCATCTAGAACAAAACAGTTTTGCATCCCACGAGCATCCCTGTAACACAGTTTGAGGGGTAAACAAACCACAGCAGGCTTCTGCAGCCTGCTGCAAAAACTGCACCTGAAGTGCCCAGAATATCTACTGAATTCACGTCCGAGGCAGTGACACTAAGGCAAATAGGTTTTGGGTGTCCTGTAAACTGCTTCTGCGTTAAAAGCAACATTTCCAACACACCGTAAACTTCTGCAGGTACCTACCTGCCGCGCAATGACCTGCTGGAGAGCGTTCTGGCACTTGGCATACGTGTGGTCTCTCATGATGATCATGATAACGGGCATGAGTTTGTCCACCAGCGCGAGAGGGCCGTGCTTCAGCTCACCTGCCAATATCCCCTCAGAGTGCATGTAGGTAATTTCTTTAATTTTCTAGATAGGGGGGAAAAAAAACCAAACCAAAACATTCATGAAGCTTTGGGCAAACTTGTTGGTTTTTTTTTTTAACCATCTCTCTGGCTTCTTCCACTGTCTATGCAACTTCGTAAAAGCGCGTTCTGGCTCTCCTCAGATGCAGTCTGCAGAAAGCCAGCCTGGAAACTGAGACCAAAGCCCTGCACGAGGCCTGAGCTGCTGCGGACCGTCCACGCTTTAGAGTCTAACGCCAAGCCCAGCTCGGGCCTTGTGGCCCGGCAGCAGCCAACGCATCTGTCGTCATGGTCTGAACTGGGCAGGCAAACGCCAAGAGGAGGCGTTTGTGTGGCCGCAGGTGACAGCACTCACAACGACAGGGAGCTCCTCAACGCAGGAACTTCAGTACGTGGCTTTTAGAACGCACACGCTCAGTTCTGGATGCTGAGCACTGCTGGAAAGGCCGTCCCAAGAGTTCGAAGTGAAGCATCCCCAGTCCGCGTGCAGAGAATACACCCACCCTCTCCTTCCCGTGGCCTGCGGCTGTGACCCGGGTACCTGCACGCAGCACCCTGAGCAGCATTACTGGGACTTTTCACTACTGGACCCAGAACATCCGCCAACGTGCCACAGCTGGTACCTGTGTTTAAAGCAGCTTGTAGCCATGTGTCATTTCCCGTGTGGAAATCTGAAATCCACGGTGAATTGTGTTTGAACCATCTTTATTTAAAGAAATCTCTTACCAAAGCTCCCTCGAGGCATGTGGCATAATGGTAGCCACGTCCCATGATGAGAACAGACTTCTGATGGTAGAGCTCGGTGGCTAGCTTCTGGATCTCATCGTCCATACTCAGCACTTCTTTAATTAAGTCTAGAAGGAAAGAGAAGAATCCAGGTTGTCTGTGCTCCTGTGCCTGCACCCCTCAAACAACAAACACCCGTCAGACACACAGGTAACGGTGACCTGTGTAAAAACTGTGTCCCAACAGTCCAATTCAGCAGTCTGAAGACATTAGAACGTGGTTGTCAAAGTTAATGCTAACAGCCACGTTGCACCTATCCGACCCCCCCAGGATTTCAAAGCAAAGTCCAGGCATTGCTGGAGTTCATCTGTGCTCCCGAGTTCCACTCGGCGGGATGCGGTACGCGCAGCAGTTTCCTACCTGGCAGTCCCTTTAGCCCGCGCATGATCTCCTTGCGCCTTTCCTGCATGGAAATTCTGTCATCACACATCATCAGAGCAAACATCACCAAAGAGACAAACTGGCTGGTGTAGGCCTGATAAGCGGGGGGAAGAAAGAGGAAAACACATCGTTACAACAGTAACCAAGCAGTTGTCACCTACTGCGTAAAACCCTTAGACTAGGCCTTGACTTTATTCTTACCGTGGCACCAAACAGCAGCTTTCGTTCCAGCTGACTAGCAAAGATGAACGTGGAACTGAGACAGAGCAGCCCCGGGGAGAAGGGCTTGGGGGTGTCACTGGATGGAAACCTGCCTGCGAGCCAGCACTGTGCGCTGCAGCCCGGAGAGCCACCGGTGTGCGGGGCTGCACCCAGAGCAGGGTGGGCACGGGGGGGGGGATTCTCCCCTCTGCTCCGCTCTGGGAGCCCCCCCTGCAGGGCTGGGTCCAGCTCTGGGGCACCAGCAGCAGAAGGACACGGACCTGCTCGAGCGGGGCCAGAGGAGCCACGGAGATGCTGGGGGGGCTGGAGCCCCCCCTGTGAGGACAGGCTGGGAGAGTTGGGGGGTTCAGCTGGAGGAGAGAAGGCTCCGGGGAGACCTTAGAGCGGCCCCCAGGGCTGAAAGGGGCTGCGGGAAAGGGGGGGACACTCTTGATCAGGGGAGGGATAGGATGAGGGGTAACGGGTTTAAACTGACGGAGGGAGATTTAGATCCGATCTGAGGCAGAAATTCTCCCCTGTGAGGGGGGGTGAGGCCCTGGCACAGGCTGCCCAGAGCAGCTGTGGCTGCCCCCTCCCTGGCAGGGTTCAAGGCCGGGTTGGACGGGGCTTTGGGCAGCCTGGGCTGGGGGAAGGTGGCCCTGCCCGGGGCAGGGGGGGCACTGGATGGGCTTTAAGGTCCCTTCCAACCCAAACCAGTCTGGGATTCGATTAAATTCACAGGGCAAATCTCATTTGAGCAAACCTCAAACGGAGGTGTGCAATGACACAGTCTCCTGATAGTGCAAGAGTCAGATACAACAGGCAAACTGGAATATTTCTAAGCTTGTCTGGTGATTATCAGATCATATTTTGTGAGCACACCTGTGTCCTTTACTACAAGTAAATGCTGAAAACACCGAAGACAGGCAGCCCCAGTGACCGGAGATGCCCAGTGGAAGCCCACCACTAACACCTGGCCATCACAACAGGACAGCCAGCTGAAATCTTTTTGGACCACGTTCAAGGAACACAAAGGCAGCTGCAAAGGTAAGTGATTTCCCACCCCGCTTCTTTAAGAGCAGACTGTGAGCTCTTCACCTCGGTAAGGTTCCATATTTGTCTAAAAGACCATAGTGACTGGTGTCACTGACCTTGGGAAAAATCATCTGCACAGGCAAGTGAAATCAGTGCTCAAGCTGAGGCAATTCTAGTCACGAAAAGATTTGAGGCATGGTATCAAACAGCTATTGCAAAGCCTAGCCTCTGAATTCCTTCTAAGACAAATGTTATGAAACGGTCTGTGGTGCCAGCCCGGGACTGAAAGTGCTTAGAAATAAGATTAAGGCTTGTAGTATTTCTGTCCCTTCCGAAACAATGATCAAACAACCTTTCATAGCGCTATATTGGAGATGTAAATAGCTCTGAAGGAATCTAGAAAAGCCTCGGTTACGCTGACTAACAGGGTTTGATATGGAATGTCATCTACTTTGTTTTGGTGCCGTTGAAGGCTGCAGAAGTAAACAGCACCAGTCACGCTAACAATGCTTGGGGTTGTTTATAGCACGTTCCCAAAATCAAGTTCTGGACAAGCTTAGGGCAGAATTTTTTCAAGTTTGTATTTCATATACGCACAACTTTGGGAACTGCCCACATCACCGGAGAGAAAATGCCATTTTCAGTTATCTCCAACATCGTAATGTTGGCCATGTGAAAACAACCCAGGGACAAACAACTCGTTCAAGAGTTTCTTGTAAGAGACTCATGAATTTTCCATGATCAAATTCCCCAATGAACTATTAAACTCGAATGTGGTTTTTGGCTGAATTTATGTAACAGATTGACATCATCTCGCCTCTAAATATAACTAAATCAAAGCAGATTTCACCATGCAGAAGCACTTCATCAAAATGAAATGCAGCAAAGCAAGTTGGTTTATACTTTATCGTGCATAGCCAGATGCATCAACCACAGAATAATTCTGCCAGGTGGACATTAATACAGGTTTTTTCTAAAAGCCCAATTCCCTCATTTGCCAGAAGTCTAGTTCTAATACCACACTTTCCTTAGTAAAGCAGCGCCGTTAAGGGCAGTTACATGCAGTCAGTTCCCATAATCTTGTCTTTTAATTTCCTTTTTCATCTTTAGACCTTAAACTGAGTCTGCACCTCAAGACAAATGATGGCAGAGAGGAGGGAACTCTTGCCTTTTAGGGAATTCTTTCCTCTGAGACCCTTTTGTTTTCAGTGTTTAATATTGCTTCCTTATAATATTTCAGTTACAAGAAAATAAAAAACCTTTGCAAGATAGAAGAAAAAGGAAATAAAGAGCCTTGCTGGGCACATGGTCATTAACTACACAATCATCAGTAGCAACCTGTAAAAATGGAACCAGAAGCATTTAGGAGAGGACTAGTGCTACAGCCAACACCTTCAGGAGGAGTTTCAGGAACAACAGTAATAATGATCAGTGAGGTCTTTAAGCTTGTGACTCACCTTGGTACTGGCAACGCCGATCTCTGGTCCCGCGTTGATGTGGACTCCGCAGTCGGTCTCTCGCGATATGGAGCTGCCGACCGTGTTGGTTATGCCAACAGTTAAGGCTCCTCTCTCCTTGCAGTACCGAAGACCCATCAGTGTATCTGCTGTCTCACCTGAAAAGACAAGTATTGACAGTGCCACGGTCAGTGTCAGTCGTTGCAGCGACCTCCCAACCAGAATCTGAGAGGTCTGTGTCTCCCTGCGAGTCAAAGGAGTTTGTAGTTATCTCAGGCCCAGTACACTGTGCTTTAAGCCTAAAGAGACAACAGTGACATCTAGAAAAACACAGAACCTCACAACAGTAGTCGGTGTAAGAAAAAGGTGGTATTCTCCTATGGTTAAAAGAACAGAGGCAGTTCAAGTGTATCTTCCTTAACAAAACCAATTTTCTTCCTTTTCCTGGTTAATAAAAATTCACCTGGGGGGAAGACAAGTGTCAGGGATCACTGGACAGAACCCTGCCGAAGCGTCCAGGGGCTGCAGTGGCACTGTCACAGCCTTTTGAGGGCCCCCCCTTCCTGCCACTGAAATTCCGGGCACTGTTGGGCTGCTGGCGCTTACCAACAACACGACAGCTTGCAAAATCTGCCACCAAGGAGCTTATGTCTAAAACTGATCATCCCCGTTCAAAACTGTTTGCCTCTGCAAACACGAGCTGGCTTAGGTGGGACTTTGCGTGTTGATTCAAACACTCGAAGATATAAAGGAAGCAGAAAAAGCTGGTTTAAATGAACATGATGGGTGGGGGAAACTGGGGTTATTTATGTTCAGTATTTACTTTGGCTTTCTACTGCCCGATGACCAAGCTCAGGTTCCAGGCAAATCTTTGTTCGTTTGCCACATCCAACACCTCAGGGGAAAGGAGCATCCCCTGGCGTGCCCTCACTCGCGTGCCCTGTTGGGGCATCCGCACGCAGACTCAAAAAACCCAGGGAAAACCTGAACGTCAGCCCCCTACAAAGAGAGGATGTTCTGAGTTACTTGATACTGAGCAGAAAAAAGTGCTACCAGAAGGATATTTTAACCTATGGAGAAAAAGTAACAACTAGTTTTAGTATCAAAGATCAGTTATGGAAATCTGCAATAGTAAACACAACTAAGAGGGGAAAACAAAAAAGTAGTTTTGTATTGCAGTTGTCCTTGAAAATATTTTGAATGCGACACACATCCCTTTTTTGGTTTTTAATGCTTAAGTGTGTCTTTTCTCTAATATTCCACTCCCAGGTGGTTGTATTTTTTGCCACTGGTGTGTAGTCATTTCTTTTATGGATCCAAGCCATCGTATAGCTCAGTATCTGGTAGTGCTTTCACTACAGGACTAAAACTATTGAGAAGAAACCATCACATTGCCATTACCCAGAGCTCAGTAGCATTTCCTTAGATTGATGGAATATTTCCTCACAGAGAAAAGAAACAAAACTACTGTTACCGTGTGTAAGACTCAGCCAAACCAAATCCTGCCCCGGCAGGCAGATGGACAGAAACCACTCTACTTCTCCCCGTCTCTAGCACGTGTGTGCCAATTCCTCCTTTCACACAGATTCCTGCAAGAATCAGGCCCTGCTGCCTCTTCCCTCCCAGGCTTACAGGAAAGAGGGAGCAAAAGTGGCAGGTGGCAGAATGAGACCATACCTGACTGGCTGAGGAAAAAGCAAACATCATCTCTGAAGACAGGGGTGTTTCTGTCCAAGAAGTCACTGGCAAGTTCAACCATAACGGGTAATTCGGTCAGTTCTTCCAGAACCTGACGGGTCTGGCAAAAGGAGATGTCAAAACGTTACGTATTGCATCGTGGTTAAAAAACCCAAGCGTTTGGAGTACAAAAAAAAGCCTTCTAGCTGCCACACTCTGGAAAATATTACTATCAAAATACCGTGTGAAAATTAGTGCTGGGTTGTATTTTAATTACTCGGTATCCCCACACTCAAGTTGCACAGCGCCCCTGTGAAAAGCAACCCTGCTTCTGGCACCACGAAAAGCCTGGGGCCAACCCCTCCCTCACACGTGGACTGTTCTTAAGTCAGCCTCACTGATTATATAATACTACATGTTATATAATACAGGGCGTCCTTCTGTCAGACTGTACTCGGACTACTGAAGAACTCAAAAACCACTCAAAGAACTCAAAAACTCATCCAGGCCAAGCCAGTGACTCGGTTTGGCTAGCTGAAGGATTACTGTTAACATTATCTTACAGAGCTAGCCAAGATGAACAAAAGTTGTCTTTACTGGTCTTTGTAAACCAGCGAACGTAGCTGCGCTCTGCAGCACCTCTGAGAGCAGCCAGAGGACTCCTCCGCGCAGCTGCAGAGTGCTTTTAGTCGCAACACTACGGGCTGCCAAGCTACAGTCGTAAAAAGGCTTCACCTACACTGTCGTGTTTAAACCAGCGATTAGGCCGGGCCTTGACAAAACAAGCCGACACGCTGGCTGCGGGCCCAGCCAGGACTCCTGTGAGGGACGAAGTGGAGCCTCTGCGCTCTGAGCAGGCACCGCTGTCTGCGTCGAGAGCAGGGGGGAGGAAATCCTGCCACGCTCACGGCAGCCCCTCCCTTGCTGCAGCACTTGCATTCTGCTCTCCGTTGTCTCTTCTCCTGCCGAATGTCTTTTATGGCAGAGCAGGTTTTGGTTTTTAAAGCCTTCCACAGCAACGAAAGTCACAGGCAACGTTTTCAGAATCATTCGAGTTCTCAGCTTTTATTTCCTACTGCTGTTGGGGGTGAAAGTGTGGTTGTACGCAACTTTCAGAAGCTTCGTTCATCAGCGGGCACTTGCTCAGTCTTAACCTGCATCAACCCTTGCTCGGCACAGGCGATGCTGTGCCCGCTGTTCAGTCCCACAGCTCAGAGACTGAGCACTCACCGCAACGCCCGCGTGGTAACTTGTCCCACAAGCGATAAGGATCAAACGACGGCACCTCTGAATCTCCTTGATGTGATCCTTCAACCCACCGAGATTGACTGTGAACAAGATTCCGAGAGAAAAATTAGGGTGGCCATGCAGCAGAAATTCTCAGGATTAAGTGGTGCTGACACACAGTGTGTTACAATCTCCATCAACTGCTTTACTTTTTGTGAATTTTTTTTTTTTTTTTTTTTCTTGGCAACCTCACCACCAGCACATGTAATTCTGGAAGCTCTCCCTGCGAGACACACACATCGTCTTACACCAGCGTGTTTTAATCTCCCATGTCATCACCTACTTCCTCCTCTAGAACTGCTGTGAATAGCTGCTAGATACTGAGCTGTCAAAAATAAAGGAGGCTTAATCTCAATTACCAGTGTAGTCATCAAAGTTGACCCTTCCTCTCATCGTATTAACGACAGATTCTGGCTGTTCAAAAATTTCCTTCTGCATAAATGAACTGAAGTTACCTATAACAGAAAGAAACAAACCGAATGAGAACATTTTAAACTACCTCCTGGTAATCTACATTCTTCCTGTGTACACAGGGAAAAGCTTGGAGCAGAGTCACTAACAGGCCAGACTAAAGTTATTAAGCTGATGACACTTTTTGTTTTCTGCCAAAGCATCAGCTCATCATGAGAGCTAGACTCAAATTACTAAAATGTGTCGAAGGGGAGTCAGATCTGGAACAGCAAACCTGCTAGGGATCAATTGTGGAACAAAGGGATGCCTCCTAGCAGGAGGCAGAATCCTCAGCCCCCGAGCCCTCCTCATGATGGTGTCAGCAGCCAGAGGGCAAGTCCCAGCAGAGGTAAGGACAACTGTTCTCACCGTGAGGGTAGCAGAGCACCGGAACAGGCACTCACACAGGCTGGGGGCTTTCTGTCCTTGGAGACACTCCAGGCTCGACTGATCGAGGCCCTTTAACACTCTCGGCCCTGCTCTCAACACAGGGATTGCACCAGTGACCTCCAGAGGTCTTTTTTGACCTGACTTGTTCTGTGACTCCAGGAGGACCCGTACACCTACGCAGGTGACCTTTACCCTTCATGATTTGCTGAAGTTCCATCTGCAGGGTTTGGACGGCGCGTCCGGGGTGATCGCCTGCCGTGCGCTTAATCCGGTGGATGGAAAGACGACCGTCGACCACAGCCGCTACATCATCATCTTCAAGGAAAATCACTCTGTTGGTATGCTCAATGACAGCACTATAAAAGCATACACCATTTGCCATAAGACATTATTCTTCAGAGACAGATGAGGGCTACAGCCCTTTTATAATCCAACATACAGCTTTTGATTCAAGAAAGTTACTCATTTCAATGGAATTTCTTTTAAAATAAGAGGAGCACCGTAAAGTACATTTCCACACTGCCAATGTAACTGGATTTTTTCCACCTACCTCATTATTAATGTCAGTGCCTGCTTTAAGAAGCAGCTAGGCATTCCTCAGACAAAGCAGGGTGTGCAGCAGTGTGATCTAACCGTTCGAAGCTGGAGAGGGGAAGTCGGGAAGAGTGCGATCTGCCCTAGCACACCCGGGGCTCAACTACAGGTGCAGATTCCTTTCTTGGTTCTTCCAGTGACGAGCTGTTGACCCTCCCTGCATCTCACTTTCCCCATCTGGAAACTGGGGACAGCTTGGCCACCTGTTAAAGTACTTGGAGATCTGCTGCGGAGCACTCCAAGAATTAGGCACTGCTGAATACCTTCCCTGCCCGCAGTTCACTTGGGGAATGTCAATATTGGAATTACCAGGAGGGTTCACAATTTCTGGCCAGGTTTTAGTCTGTACTCTCTCTTAGTCAAATAGTAACCTGTACTGAAATCTGAAAAAGTTCTGAAAAACTCTCTAAAAATCAAAACACATTAGGACATCCTGACTCCCCAAAACGCTCTGATTAGAAGAGCTGCAGAAGTCAACCACAGCAGTATTTTTACATTTCTGGAACAAACATTCACCTCCCTAATACAAAGAAAACCAAAAGCTCTGGTAAATACGCTGCTGTCAAGTTAGTGTTTCCTCCCTCCACTGGGATTCAAATAAGGCACCGTTGATGATAAAGGGATTGCAGATGTGCCGAGATCCCTGGAGAATCAATTCTCCTGAAAATTAGCATCTACCCTGTTAATTTAGGTCAGTACTCTCAGGTTTCCTATCCCTGACCTCAGAAATCTTACCAGCAGGTGTGCTTGAGGAAAGGGTAACATCACTATTCCAAAGCCAGCATTCACTTAACCGAAACTCACCCAATCCACCTCCGTCCCGCTCAGGGCCACGTACGGCAACTCGTTAACGTGGGTAAGGCCACGGCCGCGTAGGCACAAACCACTTTATTCAGAAACCCCAGCGCCCCCATCGCTCCCTCCGCGTTGAACAGCGTGCTTTCACACATGCTCAATGACGCTGGAAGGCATTACCTAGCATCCGAAGCGAAGTAGTACTCCACAGCTTTCTCCTCCACAGGGAAGAGGCAGGTGGTACTGTCAACGCGGGACAGGTTGCAACTTCCCTTCTTGTCTTTACCTAGAAGAGAGGAGGGTCAGGCCCGGCGCCCGCGGGCCAACGCGGAGCGCGGCGGCAGCGCCAGCTCACCCCGAGTCCCCAGGCACCGTACCAACATGAAGCACTATTTTCGTTTTCACATGAGGGGTCACGGCAAATTTAACAGCCACAAGGGAAGAGGGCAGCGTACCAGCACTCGTATTCTGTGCCCCTTCTCCGTTTGCTCCTGAGGCTTTTATGGGCTTTCGAATTAAGTCTGCAAGGGTAATGTTAGTCCAGAGTTTTAAGTTTAGAGGAAAATGCCAGTAAAAATTCCAGTTAATGTGTGGCTCCACTAGGAGAAGAGAATTCAACTGCATTACACGCAGTCACATTTACCAACATCTGCCTGGCTCAATCTGCCCTTTTTATCATTTTAAGTTTCTCCCGTGCTCTCGTTTCACTAACTTTCCCCAGGCTTTCAGAAATCAAGCAGGATTGCTCTTTCTTTGGCAGTTATTCTCAGCACCGGGGAAATTCTTTCAGAGCTGCCACCTGTGCAACCGCACTGCTCCCCTGAGCACTGGCAGATGCAACCCAAACCTGGTTTTGTCTGGCGGAGCGAGCTCAGGCACAGATCAGGAAATCCATGGTTAAGTACCGGGCCTTGTTCCTGAGCTACCACATAGAACCACCTCAGCCTAAAACCGTACGGCGGGCGAACTGCCGCGAGTTGTGCGCTACTGCCAGGGAAGTCTCTGGGTGTACCAAAGGGTCTAGGCCTGAGGCAGCTTCTGAAACACTTGTGCTAAGGCTTTGAGAAGGTTCAGTGTTCCCCAGGGACCCTTTCTGAAGGGTTCTGGCAATTCCCAATACTCTCCAATTCTCCGCCTCCTCTTCCACTGCAGAAAATACTTCTCAGTCGCGAGGCTCATCAGGAATGCGGATGAGGACCAAAACACCTACTGCTCAGCACTGACCTCAGACAAAATTATTTGCCAGTCATTGTGCACGGTATGGTAAGGGGGCGGATTAATCAGCTTATCTAGCAAAATGTGACTCCTGCTGAAGAACAACTACGCTGAAGTTACTCTTATTATAATATTTATTCCATAAGCTCTGATGTTGTGTTTCGCCCACTCAGTGATGTAAGTAGAGCTCACCACGTTTAGATTTATACTTCTGTAAATGAAAATGTAAAGGAAAAATACTGCTTTCATGTTGATACTTGATAAGAAGGTTCCACGCAGCCAACAATTTAGAGCCCTCCACTTATTAAGTCAGTAAATGAGGAAAACAACTCCTTTGTTGTCGCGCTGAGACAGGACAGACCGATTTGTGGTTGAGAAAGGAGAGAGCAAAGGTGTTAGCGGCCGTTCCCCAACAGAACCACCCATACTTGATCAAAACATGCAAATTTTGTTTCTCAAAATAGAACACTTCCCTGCATTGACTTTATTATGTTGCATTGCTTTCCCGGATGTGGTTAAAAAGTTATGGTGAGTATTATCAGCCAGTTGTGGTTGTTATGTTATCTATGGACTGTCCATGGATTGTCCATTTGGCTATAAATAACCTGGATTGTTGCTCTACAGCACCTACCTGCTGTTTACTAGAATTTAGAAGCAACACAGAAGTAATCTTTTCATCTTTTCCATTCTAAATCAAAGAACGGAAAGAAACATCACAGAGAATTAACACAGGTATGGTAAAAAAATGGGCAGGGGGGTCAATTTTTCAGAAAAGCCTTAGTGCCTCTGAAAGCCTTTGGTTCTTAAAGCCCCTGGGAATGAAGGTTAACCTGACTTGAGAATTTTACTCTAAACACTTTACACTGACTTAGGAGAGATTATGTTTGGTAAGGAGAAACAAAACCTTGCCTCATGTTTGGATTCAGGTAAACCAGCTCCTGAGAGAGAACAAACGTAGTTCACCTTTCAACAGACTGGGGTTTGTTTCTCCTCCAGTTCTCCAGAACTCCAGCGAGTTCATCCACTGAGTGTCAGCGCCTGAGGCCACTGTCTGCTGAGGGTGGAATCTCATTTATTTACAGAACCAAGAAGCAGATCCTTTCCTCTTACAGAAAAGCACTCTCCTGCTTCAGATGGGAGCTTAGTTCATCACATAACATACGGTGGGTGAGCCTTTAAAACAATTACTTAACGTCAGTTAAAAACGGTTCGTCCTGATAAACGCACCAAGGGCAGCAAGTGCCAGCCTCAAGTCAACCTCGCTGCTGCAGGTCAGGTTCACACCGTGATCAGGAAGGACGTAGCTCTTTGTTAGTCTGAGCTCTAGAAGTTCTGGAGAACGCCTGCATGAGGATTATTAGCAGCCTCCTAACAGGGTCTTGGTCTATTTTTCTGAGGTGTTTTTTTAATGTAATTTACTGTTTCCTTCTGTAACAGGAGCTGGAGGGAGCACGCAGCACAACCTGCACCAAGTCACCAATCCTGCACATCTGCTGAGCATTGTCAGAATATTTGAAACGGGATGGGTGGATTCTCCTGTGTGTCGCTCACGGTGTTTCTGATCAAGAAGGAATTCTGATTATCCCCCTTGTTTCACTACACTACACAGAAAGCAATAACCACATACTAAAGAGCCAATGCATGTGTGTCTCATTTATTGATTCCTTTCCTAAGGAACTGGAGGATTTGTCTGAAATTTCAAGTATTAGATTTTCTCCGGTAGGCACCTTCCTCCATTTCTATGGATATTCCCTCAAAAGAATGATCCATAGTTTGTACAGCTGAACGGGCAATTGGGAAAACAAACAAACAAACAACAAAAAAAACAAAACAAACAGCAAACTTCAGATGATCAGTGAAAAAAAATAATTATTATATACATACATTAAGGATTACTGCTAATTATCAACATCAACCACGGGTAAACGCAGACAAAGCTTACTGGGACTGGTTCTTCACGTGACAGTGCAGAAGCTCTGGTTAGCAACACCGTTAGGAAGGAGCAAGGCACAGTGTGACAGGGAGTCCCTTTGATCACTGCAGGGCTTAGGGACCACGGGGTTCCCACCCCTCTGACAACGGTTAATTACGGGATAATTCTTAGGTACTTTTCATTTTCAAGTGTGCAACTACGTGTCTACACACAGTGATAAAACACACGTGTGAGAGAAAGATGGACAGACAACAGAAAGACAGATTGCCACAGGAAGGGTAACAGAATTGTACTTCTTAAAAGTTATGGGGAGGGGGGACACGTCGCGATGGTGAAAAGCCTTCAACAGAGTCATTTTTGTTCTTGAAAGCAACAAAGTCCACAAATGTCAACGTGCCATGGATCAGATATAAACTTCAGTAAAATATAAACCTAAGTACCTAAGTTTACTTAACTAAGTATCTCGGTTTCACTATATTATTACTTTACTACACTGAACTATTCTGTTTTATTCCATTCTATTCTACAGTGTTCCGTGCCACCACTGGACATTTCAAGCTTTGATTAAAAAACTACAGACTAACTTGACGTATATGGTGGTTAAAAACTTACTTAAAAAAAAAAAATCTTATTATAATGGTTTAATTTAGAGACGAAAGTTTAAAAATGCAATATGTATCCCAAAGCAGGCAAGTGCCTGTGAAACTCTACGCTCGGACGCTGCTCTGAGCGTGACTGGAACATGGCTCCTCTGGGCAGGGGGGTCTGGACTCACCCGTCCGGTAGAGTATCGGGATGTGGTCGGTGGAGAGCTTGTGCTCACTGCGCACTCCGATGAGCAGGGGGCTGCCTCGCCTGCAAGGAGAGAGTCACAGCCCTCAGCGCCCCGAGACTCATCACCCCGACACCCAACCTGGAGGGACTGCTATTCTCCAGCGCAGCGACCGAACTGAACTGAACAACAACGCGCTGCTGCCAGATCAGTTGTTGGTGCTGCAAACACCGGGGGCCACACGACGGAGCGAAAGAATCTCTGAATAAACACAACGCAAGGACACGAAGAATCTGTCTCAAGTTTAGCCAAAACTCCGCAAGAGTAACGGCGATCCCACGGACACGAACCCGAAACACGGCGGCTGCTGCTCGCTGCGTGTATCGAACAGCTACGGCACTGGAATTCCACACCTGTGTGAGGCACGTGAATGGTTAAACCTGCCCGACGGATGTTTGAAAGCGGAGCCTGAGCACCGGGCTGGCCCAGCAGCAAGTCAAACGGAGAACTTGGCTGAATGCTGCCACAGTGGCAAACACAGAGGAGAAGACAGAACTGCCTCCTTACACATCTCACAACCGGAGCCTACAAAAAAAAAAACCCCAACCAGTTGTGATACAGGTGGTCGCTAGCAAATTTTCCAACCATTTGGGGGAATTTTCTGTTACAATAAATGGAAAACAAGAGAAAGGAAATGAAAAAACAGCCACCACCCTCACCCCAGCATATACAGCTGGTGAGAGCTACCTTTACTCCACTGTGTTCTAACCTGGGGGGACAAAAAAAAAAAATAGGGTACAGCACGACAGCAATACTTACCTGGTACCGACGGCCTGACCAGGATAATGAACACTTTTGAACACAAGGGCGAAAGCACCTTCCTGGAACAAGAGAAACAAAGAACTGCTTAACCCTGTGCTCGAGGCCTGGGCACCACCGCAGGGCTCCCGGCACAGAAGCTGCACCCGCGTGTCTGTGAGACACACGCACAGGCGCCTTCGCAGCCGTCTCCAGCACCACCAGAAGCTCCGGGCACCCCATTCTGGAAGGACGTCCCTCCCCTGAGCCCAGGTGGCTCCTCCTCAACCATTTAATGAGTCTCCTGGACTCCCAGACAGGCTCTGCCCCTGGACAAGCGCTCCCGTTTGAGCCCGGAGCGCCGCGAGGGAGCTGCCCGAGGCCAAGGTCTGGTACAAGAACTCCGGGGCGTTTGCTCAGGTGCAGGTGAGCCACCACCGTCTGCCAGCAAAACGCGCTCTTGGGCTGTTGCTACCGCAGCTCCTGCTGGGCAAATCACTGAAACCCGTGTCCCGAGCAAGGCTCTCTGGGCGGGGGGGAACTGTGGATGGATCCTGCTCCGGGGCCCAGCTGGGTGCTGAGCTCCCGCACGGGGTCAGCAGCTCTCCCACACGGCTGCAGGCAGTCTGAAGCACTGAATTATTTCCTCCCTGCCCCGGGCCAGCTCCCAGCCCCTGCCTGCTCGCCACCTAGCACAGCTGGCTGCCTCCAGATGCTGTTGCACCCCCAAACTTCGACATTTTTCACATAAGCATTGAGGAACGTTAAAGAAAAATGAACACGCAGGATCACAGAATCGCCGCGGTTGGAAAAGACCTTGTAGATCACCCAGTGCAAGCATCAACCTCACACGGACCGTCAGGAAGGACAAAACCCCTCCTAACACAGTGGCACGTGGCACGTCCCGTCCCGTGGCACCGCCTGGGCAATGCAGGAGCACAGCCGTTAATTCTGTGCGTCTGTGTGTCTGTCCCGGCGTGTCCCCCCGTCCCCGCCCCCAGCATTACCAGCTGCTGGATGACTCTCTCCACCAGCGTGGTGAAGCTGATGTCGTCGCTGTCCCGGTTGTCGTACATGTACTTGACCAGTTTGGCGATGCTCTCCGTGTCCGTCTCCGACTCGAAGTCGTAGCCTTTGCTCTCCTGCAGCGACAGCGCCCCATGGGGAACCGGCCCCTGCCTGCCCTTCCCACCCTGCTTTTCCCTTCGTCCTTCCTTCTCTCTTTTCTTCTCTCCTACCTCTCCTTTTTTCCTTTTCTTGCATTCCTCCCTTTCCTTTTCCTTTCCTTTCCCTTCTTTTTCTCATGTCTTCCTTTTCTTTGCTCCTGTCCTCCTCCCCACTTTTCCTTTTTCTTCCCTTCCTTTTTCCTTCCTGCCTTTTCTTCTTTTCATCCTTCCATGCTGCATTTCTTCCTTTTTCTTCCTCTCCTTTCTTCCATCCTTCCTTTTTTTATCCTTCTTGACTTCCTTTTTCCTTCTTTCCCCTCCTCTTCCTTCCCTCATTTTCCTGTTGTCCTTCTTTCCTCTTTTTATTCTCTTCCCTTCTTCCTTTTCTTTCCCTCCTACATTTCCTCTTCCTTCCTTCTTCCCTCCTGACTTTCCCCATTATTTCCTGCCTTTCCCCTCCTGCATTTCCTCTTCTGCCTTTTCTTTTCTGCCTTTCCTTTTTAACCTTCCTGCCTTTTCTTTTCCTTCTTTCCTGCACTTCTTCCTTTCCTTTTGCCCTTTCCTCCTGCCATTTCCTCTTTCCTACTTTTACCTGTTACTGTTTTCTTTCCTGCATTTCCTGTTTCTATCCTTCCTCTTCCTTCATTCCTACTTTCCCTTTCATCCTCCTTTCCTGCCTTTTCCTCTTCTTTTCTTCCTTTCCTTTATTCCTGCCTTCCCTTTTTTGCTTTCTTTCCCCTTTCCTTTCCTTCCCTCCTGCATGTTGTCTTCCTTCCTTTTCTCCTTCCCTTTTTTCTTGGGAGTAAGTGTGAGAATGAGTCGGGGAATGGGGAAGTTAAGTGTGAGTGGTGGAGTGAGTGGAGGAGCGTGAGTAGAAGGGTAAGTGGGGGAGTGAGTCCAAGAATATGAATGGGGTGAGAGTGAGTGGGGAGTGTGAGAGGAGTGTGAGATGAGTGGGGGGAGTGTGAGTGGGTTAAGTGGAGTGTGGGGAATGGGGTAGTGAGTGAGAGCACGAGGAGTGTTAGTGGGGTGGTGGGAGGGTGAGTGTGAGGGAGAAGGTTAGTGGGGGTGTGAGTAGTGAATTGAGTGTGAGAATGAGTGAGGGAACAGGGCAGCGAGTAGGGGAGGAGGAGTGGAAGGGTGAGTTACAGTGGGAGAGAGTGTGAGGGGGGAGTATGGGGGAGTGAGGAGGAGTGTAAGTGGGAGGGTGAGTGTGAGTGGGGGAATGAGCAGAGGTGTGCGAGTGGGAGTGTGTTACAGAGTGAGTGTGAATGAGCGGGGGAATGGGAGGGTGAGGAGGAGGAGGGAGAGTGGGAGAGCGAGGAAGAGTGTGAATGGATGAGTGTGAGGGGGAGTGGAAAGAGAAGGGTGTGAGTGGGGGAATGTGAACAGAGTGAGTGTGACACGCCTGGGGAATCGGGAGTGGGGTGAGAGTGGGGGTGGGAGGAAGGGAGGCGCAGGGAGGTTAAGTGTGTGAGTGCAAGGGGGGAAGCACGAGCGGGAGAATTAAGAGGGGGGGAGCGTGAATGGAGCAGAGTGAGTGTGAGGGACTGGGGAGAGTGAACTGGGGTGTGCGAGTAGGGCAGTGAGTGTGAATGCGAGAATATGAGTGGGGGAATGCGGGATGAGTGAGGGAGTGAATGTGAGTGGGAGGGCGAGTGTGAGTGACTGGGGGAGTCTGAGGTAGGGAGGGAATGGGGGGATGTGAGAATGTACTCACAGAGTAGGGGAGTCAGTGTGAGAGTATGTGGAGGAGTGTGAGTGTAAGTATGAGTGGGAGAGCGAGTGTAAACATCTGGGCGGGGGAACATGACTGGGGAAGAGTGGAGTGGGGGGGCGCGGGGGGGGAATGTGAGTGGGAGAGTACCAGTGGGGAAGGGTGTGAGAGCACCAGCGAGTGGGTGGGTGTCGCACACACGGGGTGGGGTCACTCACCAGGAACTTGCGCAGGTCCTTGTAGTTGGTGATGATGCCGTTGTGGATGACGATGAACTCTGGAGGAGGAGGAAAGGCCCCGCTCAGCCCCAGCCTCTGCCCACGCGGGGCGGGACGGAGGGAAGAGCTTCACCTCCGGGTGAGACCCCCCGTGCTCGGCCCGGCCGGCAGCGCTGGCGGCGGCAGGAGCCGAGAAGGACCCGGCGGGCCCAGGATCCTGCCCCTCCCCGGTACCCGGCACGGACCGCGCCGCATGCCACCGCAGCACAGAGTGCAGCGACCCCCTTCCCCACGGTGGTGATGAGATAAACCCCGGAATATTTAAGAAAAAAGAATACAAAATTCCAAAGTACAGCCATGAAAATTCTTACCATCCGATTGCACCGTGTCACCTCCCCCTGCACCAACCCCAATCCCTCCCGCGACCAGAGCGGCCAGAAATCAAATCTCAACTCCTCCGGCTTTGCAGGAACCGGGCTCGGCACCACGGCCTGCAACAACCCCACTGCCCCGGGCCCAGCAAGGTTTTGCAGAGGCGGCTCCCGCGGCGCACACACTCACCGTTGTTCTTGTCCGAGCGCTGCGGGTGGCTGTTGATGGGACTGGGCTCGCCGTGGGTAGCCCAGCGCGTGTGGGCGATTCCGAGGTGCACATCGAACTCGATGTCGAGGTCCATGTCCTGTTGCTCTGCGGCAGAAGTAGAAGTGGTTAGTTCTGAGGGGCTGTCCCTACCCCAAAGTCAACACGGGAGACCCAGCCGGGCCTCCGGGGTCCACGGGACAGCAACGCCAACAGGGAAACAATCGGCAAATCCAGCACAACAGCGAGCGTGTTTTCAGGGATTCAGCGTGCAGATGCACTCGGGCAACGCCCCGTATTCCTCACCCCACCAACAGAAAAAACAACTTCTAAGAAAGAATCCAACCTCAGTTTTATCTGGCAGGGATGCACCTTGTCATCCTGTCGCCTGCCATGCCGTCAGCTGTGACTGAACCAGCCCCTTTCCTGGTTACGTACCACTATGTATCGTTACAGATGGGTAGAGTAACCATCACTAAACTTGTCTCTAGAAAGCATACCATTAGCATCAGTATCTCTTTGAAAAAAAAAAATACTCCTTTTGTTCCACACGCATCTCCACAATCACTTTAAAACTGTATATCCTGCAATTGTCTTGAGCAGGCAAACATTGCTTTGGAAATGGTTTGTGTATCTTCTACTTCAGCGACACACAGACCACCCTGCCTGGCCTCTTTGGTTCCCGGTTTTGTCTACCCTACGATTAGATCTGCTTCTCTTCCTTTTGGATAAGCAGCGCTCTGCCCCGGGAGGTTCACTAGCACAGGTTACAAAAGGGTAAGTTACAACGACCCGGCAGCTTCTGAACGCAAACTCCAGATCTTGACTCTCTGAAGCATCTTCCCGCTCTCACACAGCTCGCCTTTACTCCACACCCCAGAACTGTGAGCGTCTTCGCGCTGTGCGGAGATTTAATGAACTTAAGGCTTAAATCAAGGGAACGTAAAGAGGCACAAACAGATGCAGAAGGCCCCACTCATCAGTTTGGCAGTTACACACATCCACCGGTGCTTTCTGGAAGCCAACTGCTCAGATGCCTACTGGGATGGAAGCTTTAGCTGGGACAAGCATTACATATCAAATTATATATTCAACTGTTGAAGTTATCAGAGAATTTATCTTTTTGGCTCAAGCTCTAGGTCTCTGATAACTATCTCCCAGTCATTCTCCTTTTCCCGGTTTAAGGAGTTTTCCATTTGGGGTTTTTTTTTGGTCTGTTTTCTAAAATGTGTTTCAGTTTCTATTTTCCTTTAACGGGATGTGATTCATTTGTCTTGGCAAACCAGGACTTCTCTGTAACTTCATGACAACATCCACAGGACCACTGGGTTCTTCACAGCACACCTGTGACTGTTTAAATCTCTGGCACTTTGTATACAAGTTATTGGGAAATACAGTGTTCCTGGGTAAAGCAGATGATCTTCAAAACAGAGATGAGAGATGAGGGGACGTTTCAAGGAAAGAGAGCAGGCAAAGAATGAAAGGGCAATACATACTGTGAACCTCTTCGTCCAGAGCCTTCACTTTCCCCTTCTGTTTGATAAGCTGGATCTTGCAGGCGTTGGCTTCCCAGTCTTTGTCATTTCCGCCATCGAATCCCACACCTAAGCACCACCATGATTATAAAAAAAAAGAGCGTGAAGTGCAGAAAGCATATTACAGTATTTTATGTAAGCAATTACTGCCATTTTTTTTTTTTTACCATGCCCTGTCTTCCCACAGCTGACCCTCCAAATAAAGGCAAAAATAACCTTAGAAGTGAGTTCTCCGTCACCTTGCAGGTATTTTTAAAGCCTTAGACAACGGGCATCAAGAACGTTTATAGAAATCTGGATATTGCAAGTTAATAACCTCTGACCACGTGCTCACAGGAACATCGCATCCAATTTGTGCTCCAGCTTTCTTCCAAAGCAGAAGACAGTAGAAACCATTCACAACCATACCACAGAAATCATCATTTACAAGCCAGAATTCTAAAAAGAACCACGCTTGCTCGGAGATGGCTACCTGCAGAATCATAGCCCCTGTACTCCAGCCGCTGGAGCCCTTTGATAAGGGTCTCCAGGATCTCCCGTCTTGTCCGGGGAACATGGTAGTTCAGGTAAGCAAAGATGCCTGTGTGGGGAAAAAAGAGCACAATCAGCACAAAATCACAGCTGAGGAAACTCTGTACGTGCCGTCTGCGTAGCACGCACTAAGCTAAACTCAAACAAGAACTCCTGCAGGAAGGTACCACCGCGTCTGCAGCTCTTCCTTCCCCCGCCCAAGGCCTGATGAAGACGTCGCCAACACGTGCGAGATCAGAACTAACCACAGAAGACCAGCATCCTTCTCGAGACATTGAGAGCGACTAAACAGGACAAGCCTGGGCATGATGGGAGGAAGAGTTTCTATGTGAGCTGTCAGGAGGCCATGCAGGGGACAGGGAACTAATCGCTCCCGATGAAAAAGTCAGGGTTCACTAACAGCGAGCTTTGCGTGCTGAAGAACCACCTTCAAAGGGAATCCTTCCTTCAGGAGCTTGCTCTGTGTTCCTCCCACAGACTAAGAGAAAAAAAAAACATTTAACTCATGCAAACTAACACCCTCAAACTAATGGAGCCATTTTTCCTGTAGGTTTCAAAGGAAGATAAATTGTTGCTTCTATTTTTAAGCAGCGATGGGGCCACACAATTTCCTAGAGCTCTAATGCCAACTACGGCTCCATTTCAGACAGATTTCCTTTGGTGCCATCACAAAGCGGTAGCACGAGAAGACATTTATTGGATGCTAGAAATATCTGTACTTGAAATCTACCATTTCACTCTATAACATTTTAAAGGAGGAAAATATCTGCATGGAATAGAGGCAAGCCAGGTTTCACACAAATATCTGTATTTTAAGGGTTGTAATTTGAGAAACTTTATTGAAACCTCTTGAGGAGAGCAGAGTTCAGTCGCGTAAAACCAAAGTCCTTTTGAAGGCATCCCAAATCTTTGGTTTCTTCCTGACAGAACTGCCATACAGCCAGCCTCACAGTTCCCAAACTTTTATTCATGCGGAAAATTTTACTCCCAAGATGATTTTTGGAACATGTATCTTTATGTTTACCCACAGATTATTTTAAAGGACATTTGAACAACTGCATTTTTAAACTGTTTGTGTTTTGGAATGAAAGTAAATAATTCAAAGCCTTCTGATGTCTTACGTTATGAGTAGAAACACTCAGAGTTGATGGACGCACTGAACACCACACAGCAAAATGCTGAAACATTTCCAGGGGACTTTTTAGCCTGAGCAGGGCCAAGGGCAGACACAGCCGTGTACCATCTCCCATTCCTTCTCCCTCTTCCACGGACGTCAGCTACAAGTCTCCGTTTGTCATAAGCTTCACCCTCCCATTCCCAGAGCATGAGCATTAGAAATGACAGTTCCCTGCAGTTCTGCTGCAAAAAGAGAATGTCCCCATGTCTTATTTTCTTCCATATTGCTAACAAAAATTAGATGCACATTGTCATTCCTAGTCAGATAAAATAAAATTTAAAAAAAAGCAGCTTTACACTTGGTTTCTTTATCTTCTACCTTCGTTTTCCCCAAACCCAAAGCCTTTTCTTGAGAACCACTTGGAGACATCAGGACGGAGCTTACACAAATGTGCAGTTTCACTTCCGTTGCTCCTGACACGCCAGAGCAATCTCACAGACACAGGCCTGCTGCTGCCATCTCCTGATGGCATCTGTTCAGCTGGAATGTTGGTTCCAGTAACGACACGGACAGGGTGAGGTCCTCCTCCGCAGACCTCGGAGTTCAGCGGATAAAATACAGAGCAGTTACCAAGCTCTGCCGGATTTCAGAAGCTGCCTCTGAAGGATACCTCCCGCATGCTCTCAGTCTCCAAACCCTCCCCACCCTTCTGGCAAAAAAAGTGTTTTCCAATTCGAGATACTTAGTTCACTCTGGTTCTAAAAACTGCATTCATCAGGCAAACAGCAGCCTCCCTGTTTACAAGCGAGCTGACTCCAAGAGCTGTCCTCCAGGCCGAAGGACGGCACGTTGCGGGTGTATCCTGGAAGCACAAATTTCTGTAAAGGACTTCCAGGCCTTACAAAGGGGGTACAGAGCAGACGGCATTACTAGCAGGCAGCGGGAAAAGTCCCGCTCTCCACAGCCACCAGAAACCTCCCAGGTAGCGTCACACACAAAAATAAGGAGTGTGTGCCACAAAGCAGAGGAAACAAGCACTCGAGATGTCTTTAAGAAGGCAGGCTGGGTCCCAGCAGCTCCTGACACCCCCCTTCGCCCCAGAGCCACCTACCACGGCACCCAAAGCTGCTCCAGAAGGCGTAATTATAACCAGCACAAGTAATTACGGGCACACGAATGCTGCTTACGCTCCTCCAAACGAGCTAACTCACTTCGGAGCTGAAACCCGTCTCCGCGTTCAGGCAGCTCGGCAGCGCACGCTAAGGGTCCCGCTCCCCCCACAGCCTCGCCCCAGCGGGGAGCACCACAGCTCCGCCACGGCCCAGTGAAGAGCGCCCTGCACAGCACCTTCCTCAGAGTCGCCTGGTGCCCCAGCAAGGCCACGGAAGTCAAGTCTTCCACGTGACAAGCAGTCTAACTCCGTAGATGGGCACAATTACTAGGCAGAATCTTGGTTTGCTTTCATAAAACATTTTTGTAAATGTGAATTGATCATTTTAGCCTCCATCCTGCTTCTGGACAAGGATTGCAACTTATTCTGAACCAAAAAATGGCTTAAAAGCAGAACTACCTCCATCTAGGCAGGGCTGACTTTGGACATCTTTGTTAAACCTGAACCCAAATCAGATGGTGGCTCGGCAAGTTATTTTCCCTGCACATTTTAACAACTTCAGTCACACCTGAACTGAACAAAACCAAAAACCCAACCGCCCAAAACCTGTTCCCTTGTCACAGCTCACAACTGCTAGCAGTGTACAACAAAACGCCAGGTACTGAACGGGCACCAACTCCCTCCAGGAGGGGATGGCTCATCTGGAAGGAGACTGGAAAACAGCAGTGCTTATTTCTACTGATAATGTAAACAAACAGAAAACATACATCTAGAAAGGAGCCAACTTGGCATTTGTCTCAGGCACTGAAAAAAACCAAACCCACAACTATTAATTACATAACAATTATATTAAGATTATTCATGAGGACTGCAAAAAGACCTGAACCTAAGACTAAGCACAAAAAAACCCAAAACAAACCAACAGACCAACCCAAGGAATTCAGTGCTTCTTATCAGAACACACAGAGACTGAAAACCAGCCAAAAGAAATGCAAATACAGGATTGATGCTGCAAAATACGTGGACATAGGCTTCAAAAAAGACAACCATGTAAACACGAGGAGATTCAGTTTTGATTCAGTTCAGCTTCTAGATCCTGACAGGAAAAACGAGCTGGAGCGATAACGAAGATGTCACTATGAAAATAAAATTCTAAGAACTCACCTGTAATCAACACATTTTACAGATGAGAAGGCAAGTTTTAAAATTCATCTCGGAGAAAACAGGAAAAAGTGAAAAAAAAATAAATAGAATAATATGTAAAAAGGATGAATAATTAAAGTGAAAAATGGGACAACAGGGCTCCTGAAAATGAACATCTGTCTTCCTAAATGCATGACTTAGTAACCTGCAAGCTAAAATCAAGTATTTGAAGGCTTGTCACCCATTTCTGGCACCCGATCACAATGAGTTATGTGTAAACAACAGTTTCATTTACTAAAGTATTTTCACATGCATTTCATTTTCCCCTTTTCGAACATCCCATAATGGAAGTGATTCTTCATAGCTGGAGAAAGTTTCAACCCCCATTTAGAAGACAGCATTTTCCTCTACCCTAACTATCGGATTATTCAGGGATATATGAGCAATCACACCGTGTAATCACTTCCATTTTTAAGTACCATTCCACTGCCCTCGACAGAAATGCCAATGAGGAAAAAAAAAAAAAGAGAGACCCAAAGCCTTAAATGCTTGCCATGCTTCACTAACTCAGTGTCTTTTTACAAAACGTTTACTGCTCCTAGCAGCCACCGAAAGGGGCTCTGCAGATAAAATTCTGCTCTGGAGTTATTCAGACCTCAGTCCTTCAGTCCTGTTTGTGTGAATGTGCAGGGGAACGCAGCGGCGCTGAGTCAAAGGACGCTCAGGTGACGCTTAGGTCCCAGCATGACGCAGAGCCCTGGCCGTTGAAGAAAAGAGCCTCTTTTTACTCAAAAACTGCACAAAGCATCGCTTCATCCAGCTGCAAAACGCAGCCTTCTCGGAGGTGGAGCGCGGGGTGGCGCGCAGCAACTCCACCTGGCAGCTGAGACTATAAAAGACCTTTCTTCCACTCACCCGTCACAGACGTGTTTCTCTCCAAAATCACAATGCCTTGCGAGAGCCTTGTTCTCTCCCTCCCTGTGCTTATATTCAAATCAATCCACACGATTCAAAAGATGAAAAGATCTCAACTGCGCAGATCTGCACAGCGGCTGGAGGGCTTCCGCGAGGAGCACTCTGTCACGAAGCGCCAATTTTTCTGTCAGAGTGACAATCCACTTAAATCACAACAGTCAATGGAAACGTGTTGGGTTTGATGAAATTCCAACGCAAACCTAGCAAGTTTCCATCAGGGTCCCACCTGGCGCACCCCCAGCTTAGCCCCCTCGCCAGCCTAGATGCCAGGTGCTGGAAACGTAGAAACCCACGCAGAACGCTCCTGAAAGCGACGCACCGTGAATTCCGGGTCCCTAACAGACCCGAGAAGAAGAGTTTCAGTTTCAGCTCAACCTACGTATTTAGACACCATCCAACACGAGCGTTTTTCAGTGATAATGCCACATCTGCCCTCCCTAAGTCGCGCTCCAGAACAACCCAGAAAGAGGCAGTATTACAGAAATCCAGGATATCTGAGTGACGTGTGACTACCCTACCCTGACAAGCCTGGAGCTGGCATTGTGTGAAGTGAAATACACACTAGTGAAACAAAAAAACCCCGAACCTGTGAACTCCCTTCTGGTCCAGCACTGTTTATAATTGTGAATTCCAGCTACAGTAAGATGGCAGCAAGCACACTACAGGAATTTATATCTGACAGGCTCAGAAAACACAATACCCC